TAAATTTTTATATTTATTTATTTTTATATAATTTCTCCCATATTTTTAATTAGCTTAACTAAGCTCTCATTTTTCTATATTAACTTTCCTTAACTCATAAATATGCTATTCTTATAATCCAATTTATAACAAAACTTTTATTTATTGAAATCTCATATACTCTTGAGAGGTTTGATGGTGACTTATAGAGAGAATAAGGAGGATCTTCATATGATATTTATTGATTTAGAGAAAACATATGATAAAATTCTAAGAGAAGTGCTATGGAGAGTTCTACATAAGAAAGGGGTTAATAATGTTTATATTTAAGTCATTAAGGATATGTATGTAAGAGCTGATACTTGTGTTCAAACACATGGTGGTTTGACCAAGTTTTTTTTTTAATTTCACTTGGATTATATCAAAGGATCAGCCTTAAGCCCATATCTTTTTGCTTTAGTCATGGATGTTCTCACTAGATATTTGCAAGATGTTGTACCCTAGTTTATGCTTTTTGTTGATGATACTTTTCTTGTTGATAAGATTAGAGAGGGAGTTGAAGGTAAACTTGAATTATGGAGGTCAATCTTAGAGTCTAAAGGTTTTCATTTGAGTAGATCTAACACTGAATATATGATTAGCAGTAATAAATCTAGTAGATGGATTGTGATTTTGGACAATCAAGTCATTAATAAGAGTACACGTTTTATATATCTTGGGTCTATTGTTCAGAGTGATAGTGAAATAGATGAGTATATTATTAGTAGAATTCAAGTTGGATGGTTGAAGTGGAGGAATGCATCGGGCTTTTTGTGTGATGGAAAAGTCCCCTTGAAGCATAAGGGAAAATTCTAGAAAATGGTGGTGAGACCTGTAATGCTTTATGGTGTAGAATGTTGGCCATTAAATGAGAAGCATAATATTACGTTAAGTGTTGCAGAGATGAGGATGCCCGGTTGGATGAGTGACTTTACTCTTAGAAACATGAAACGAAAGGAGCATATACGTGAAAAGATTAGAGTAGCTTCAGTGGAGTATAATATTAGAGTCGCTTTAGAAGGTTTGGTTTCATAAAACGGAGGCCTTCCAATGACCTAGTTATGAGAGTAGATTGATTAGATTCAGCTTATGTTAAGAAGGGTAGAGGACCTAAAAAGACTTGGTTATAAAATATTTTTATATGATATTTCTTTATTAGATTTAAATGAGAATTTGACCATTAACATGATACAATGGAGAAAAATGATTCATGTAGTTGACCCCACATAGTGAGATAAATGTATGATGTTGTTATTGTTGTTGTTGAAATCTCATATACTCTTCTATTTATATTAATTATCTTTTATTCTTTTATATATATATAATTTCTATTCATTTAGTTATTACATTTTCTACTAAAATTAATAAAAAGCCAAAGCTTACCTCTCACTCGATCTTTCTCATCTCCCTCTTTCGGTTGCTCAAGCTCTCTCGGTCTCAATCCTTCTCCCTCTCTTCTCTAATTTATAGAGCCGAAGTTTACGATGCCAAATGATGAAAATGACCTGAACCCATTGGCTTCCATGACACCAAATGGCGGGAGCGTGTTCTATGACTTCTTTCACTCACCCCCCTGCTATAGCTATATAAGTTTATTCGTTTTATTTCATTTAATTTATATGCATTACTTTTATTGATGATGATATTCTCCTTATTGACAAGACTAGAGAGGGATTTGAAGGTAAACTTGAATTATGGAGGTTAACTTTAAAATCTAAAGGCTTTCGTTTGAGTAGATCTAAAACTGAATATATGGAGTGCAATCTTAGTAATAATAGATCTAGTGGGGGAATTGTGTCTTTGGGCGATCAAGTCATTAATAAGAGTACATGTTTTAGATATCTTGGATCTATTGTTCAGAGTGATGGTGAAATATATAGGGATATTATTAGCAGAATTCTAGTTGGATGGTTGAAGTGAATGAATGCATCGGGCTTGTTGTGTGATAGAAAAGTCACCCTTAAACTTAAGGGAAAGTTCTATAAGATGGTGCTTAGACCTGCAATGCTTTATGGTGCAGAATGTTGTCATTAAAAGAGAAGCATAATATTAAGTTAAGTGTTACAGAGATGAGGATGTTTAGGTGGATGAGTGACTTTACTCTTAGAGACAAGATATGAAATGAGCATATATATGAAAAAGGTTGGAGTAGCTTCAATGGAAGATAAGATTAGAGAGTCGCCTTAGATGGTTTGGTCAAATAAAACGACGGCCTTTCGATGACCCAATTAGGAAAGTAGATGTATTAGAATTGGTTTATGTTAACGAAGGTAGAGGTAGACCTAAAAAGACTTTGTTCGAATATAATAGAAATGAACTTTCTCTATTAGATTTAAACGAGAATTTCTCTTTTAACAGGGCACAATGGAGAAAAAGGATTCATGTGGCCGACCTCACATTGTGGGATAAAAGCACGATTTTGTGTGTGCTTGCGCGCGTGTGCGAGTTAGTGTGGGGGACATACGGGGGTGTGTGCGTGCGTGCAACGAAGGCCTTAGTGAACCTAAAGAATCTTGTGAAACATGAGCATGAAAGCAAATTTTTTTCAGCAGTTGTGCCCTTAGATGAAATAGTGGTCAAGTTTAATGATGTTGGTGTTCTAGAAGATGTGAATAGAACTTGAAATGAACTTGTGATGCTTCCTATGAGCCTGAACTTTTTTCACAAGGAATTTTGCTATTTAGCTCATCGGGAACAGATAAAACTCTTCTTGCAAAAGCCCTTGCAACTGAAGCTAGAGAAAATTTTATCAATATAACTAGGTTTGCCCATACATCGAAGTGGTTTGGCGAGGTTGAGAAACTCACCACAACGCTCTTTTTTTTTGCATCTCGGCTAGCGCCTGTTATTATTTTTGTAAATGAGGCTGCCAACTTGGTGCACGTGGTGGTGCCTTTGAACATGAAGCAAAAAAGAAGAATGTGAAATGAAATAAGACATATGCAGACCTTCCGGATGCTGAAACCGTATAAAAATCTTAATGATATTTATATCCCAAGAAAATCTTGACCCTAACTTTAGATTTGACGAGTTAACTAGTGCAACAAAAGGTTATTCTGGAAGTGATTTGAAGAATCTTTGCAATTTCGCTTTAAATAAAATGGACCTAGAACTTCTTGACAATGAGAAGTCAGGCAAATTTGCTAAGTAGAAATTCACATTAGCTGACACTTTTTATGTTATAAGATCAGCTTCTAGTGTGGGAGTTGATATTGTGGGAGCATCTAGTTTAAATTGTCATTCTTTTACTTAGCAGGAGTCCTCAACAGCTTTTTGAAAGAATTGCACATTCAAAGAAGGTGATAGAGTAAAATATGTAGGTATGTTGTGTTCTTCCAGGGTACCTTTTCCAGCTCAGAGAGGTCCACATTATAGCTTTCGTGGTAAAGTAATTCTGACATTTGAAGAAAATGAATCATCCAAAATTGATGTAAGATTTGACAAACATATAGTTGAAGGTAATGATCTTGGTGGTTTATGTGAAGAAGATCACGGGTTCTTCTGTACAACTGACTTGCTTCGTCTAGATTGTTTTGGCCCAGATGGTTTCGAAAGGATTGCTATCACTGAGTTAATAGAGGTTGTGACTGAAGAAGCCGAGGAAAAAAAAGCAATAGAAACTAGCAGGCCAGAGATGCTAGAGAGCTCTTTTATAGTTTTCATCGTGATGATGCCCCAGCCGAGTCTATTATGCACAAGTGCATCATATATGTTGTTCCCTTTAACAAAAAGTTGTCAATTTGTTCTTAACATTCTGATTTTATTGTTCAGGATGTACTTATATGATGGAAGGATTAGCCAGAGTACGAAGCCATATGGGGGCCATGTGATGCGCCAGGGGGGCCCATCTTGTGGGGCCTAGGGGAGTTAATATTCACTATGTAAATAGGAGAAATTATTAGAAAAGTTAATTTAGGGAAAGATGATTTATTTGAATTTAAATTGGGGAGGGAATTAGGAAGGTTTTATTTAGGGAAAGATGGCTGATTTGTATAGATTTGGGAGGGAATTAGGAAGGTTTTATTAAGGAAAAGATGGCTAATTTGAATTCGGTTTTGGGAGGGAAATATGATGGTTTATTTAAGGATAATTATATTATTTTATTTTCTTGAGGTGATTTATATTTGTTGTAATTTTCTTAGGAGTTATTCTTAGCGGCGTCTAGGTCTGTGGGAGAGCTGATCTCTCTCAAATAATAGATCACTTGTACCTTTTTTTTCTTATTGAAGATATAATAAAAAATCAGCCCCCTATTTTGTATTCCTGCAGTTTTTACTTGTTTCTTTCGCTGTTTTTACTTCCAAGATGTATCAGTTTAATATGATTTAAATCAGCCAAACTTCCTTTTGGCTTGGAAAAAATAAAAAAAAGAATTGAGCCATGCTCCAATCTTGATATGTTCCATTGTTTTCCAATGTGGTCTTGAGTTGATACTGGATTGGTTCAAGATTGAACTGATATGCTCCATTTTGTCTCGGCACTCTAAAATGGCTGGGAGCAGACAACCTTACCTGGCACATATGAAAGGAGATGAGATTGTTCCATCTGGCGCAACCTGAATCCAGTAGTGTCCCACTAATTATTAATGATTGTCTATGTTCCCATAGTGCCCGCCTTCCCAATGATCTCTGTCATTATTGGTAATTGGCTATATTCCGAAGTTTAGACTTTTTTACCTTCATGAAGCATGATTGTATATTTTGAATGGAAATAAAAATAACTAAATATTAGCCTTTTTACTATTTAATCCGGAGACAAGTTCCTGATTGATAATATTGTCTGATTCATTTATTGTATACATAATTTATTGAATGTTTTCTGTTTTACTTTTGTTTATATAAGCTGATTGCATGCCTCCAGTCTTGTTGCAACTGAAGCATTTTACAATTACATTCTTATGTTGTGCTGAAAATGAGCTCTAAAAGGATGCCATGTTCCCATTTCTTTAGCTTGTTATAATATTTTTTTCCCCTTACTTTCAGGGTGGAAATGCTATAGAAAAGAAGATAGAGTCTGAGCAATCTTTTGAATTATTGACAAATCCAGCAAGGGTTCTACCCGCGCAAGAAAAACATATCAGATTCCTGGAGGGAAGCAGATATGTACCAGTGAAACTAGCACCTTCTGGTTTTGTTCTATTGAGGGATCTTCAACCAGCAGAAGCTGAGATTATTGTTCTTACTGATGCACCCTCTGCAAATGCAACCTCTGCAAATCCTCAGCAGAATTCAGCTTCTTCTGCAATGGCTGTAGATGAGGAGCCTCAACCCCCACAACCATTTGAATTCTCAGCTTAGAGAAATTGTGTTCGGTAAACAATTTATATGCTTATAAGTTTGTTTTCTCAAGCTGAGAAATAGTTGGACTGATTGAAATGAGTGTTTTCCCTTGCATCAGGCGAACTTGTTCTCTAGCAGATCAGTGTAAGTCTATAGGTGCCATTGTGCCTGGTAGAATTCTTTGTTGATTTCTAGAATAAGCTTGATAAAAAACAGCTTTGTTTGGGGTTGGAGCCTTCATAAATCATTTATATGCATGTTTTTGTATGCTTCATACTGACAACTGGAATCTGCACTTCACATAAACATGCTACCTTTCTAGATTTGTGATGGTTTGATTTTATTTTACATATAATATTAGTTTAAAAGTGCTTTATAATCTATAAATTTGAGATTTATCAATTATATTTGATTGGATTTATTCTTTGTTTATTCATGAAAATCTTAAATTTAAGTCAAATTAAGGTTTCGTTTGGGATAGTTTTCTTATTGCTTTGTTTTTCCGATTGTGATTGTAATTTTTGTCTAGTCATTGCTTTAAAAAAATTTTGTAGCAGCAAGTTGCTTTCATCAAATACAATGATGAGGACATTAGTCAGAGATTTCAACATGTGTACCGTCATCGGAGTTGTAGTTCGGCGGTTGCGATCCAGAGTCTTTACTTTTGATATATTTTGTATTTTCTTTATTGTCGCATTTTCTATTTTTCCTAGTTTACCCCTTTGGGTAGTGAGTTGCTATTGTAGCCTCGAGGGAAATTGTGTCTTTTTGCTTTTCTTGTATTGAGGCCTATCTATTAGGGTTTCTTAGCTTTGTAATGGTTAATGGATATTGATATGAAATTTCAGCCTTTGTATTTGGATCTCTTTGTGAGTTCTAGATAGAGTGGTGGAGTTTAGGAGAGGCTCAATTGTAGTACCCAACAGCCCCTGCGGTGAGCTCTTGATTTTTCCCTCTATCTCTTCTCCTTCTTCCCCAATTTTCTCTACCCGAGCTCCCCTCCTTCCTCCTTACCCGACGGCTCATCCACACCTCCACTACTTGCACCCACACCACCACTAAACCTCACCTCCAACCGCTGGCCCAAGACCTCCCTTCCCCTACCCGAGCCATCTTATCCCTCTCCCGTCCCATGCCGTCGGCCTACTCCCTCTTCTCCATCACCTTAATTGTTTCCCTAAATTAAGCCAAGGGAGAGGGAAAATTATTCTAATTATTTGAAATTCAAATTGCAAATACATTCTTTATTTGGGAATTCCAAATTAGAAAGGTGACTGAATCTCAATCCAAGTTGAATTTCAATTAGGTTGGATATGACAACTCCTTTCCTAATTTACATAACTTGTTTTGAAAGCTCTTAAATTCCTCCCCATAAACCATCTCCCTCTCGTGATGCCACCGGCCCCATGCATGCACTCCACTCTTGTTTTTCCCTCTTAATCTCACCAACCCAATTTGGAATTTCAATTCAAAATTCAAATTCTTTTCCTCTGTCTTCACTTAATATGAAATTAATTTTAGATTACTCATAAAAAACCTTAACCTAGATCCAGTCGCCCCTCCCCTCTCCACCTCCTCCTACCCGAGATTCCACTCGCCTCCCTCCTCCTCCTCTTGGCCACCTCTCCTAAGTGGTGGCTTCTCCACTTCTACTCCCCCCACCACAACACCACTACATCATTCCAAACCCTTATGTGATCATGCATGGCCGATCCAAAAGTTGATCACGGTTTTGCTTATAACGACCAAGGAGAGATCGACATTCTCCTCTCCTTTCTACGAGCCAGATTGAGAATACGACAAATCAGTGGAAAGATACGTCAACTGAATCCTCAACTGCCTCGTCGAGACGATCGAGCTCCAACAACCTCGAGTACCGTGTGCTCTCACCGGACGACCACCGTTCTTCCAACTCCGACTCCTTCCTCGACGACTAGTCCCCTCAGCATCACGTGCCTTCTAGTGGCATCCCTAAGCTTGCTTGCAACATTCATCTGCTAAGCCTATCACTTAAGAGTGTGAGTGAGGGATCCCAAGGTGAATAATCTAAATTTTAAACTGTGGATTTTGTTAAACATGTTATTTGCTCTACTCATTTATTGTTGATGTAGTTTTGCAAGTCTCCTATTAATTTCAATTGTAATCACTTGTCATTACTTGGTTCTTCCCCTAGAATTTTCTAAAAATCTATCTTGAAAACGCATCCATTTATGTTTAGCTATGCCACGTTCACACTTAATTAATTTCGTATAAGCAATTCTTGTTTCATCCTCATTGTATTACATCATATTTGGTATTAGAGCATGGTTAGCATAGGCTATGCATGCTAGAAGTCGTCCTAGGGAACTTTATCTTCAATTTAAGTGTCATTGATTGCTCATTACCACATAGAAATTTTTAAAACCCTTATTAGTCTTGCTGGCCAAAAAAATTCTTGCACCAATTAGTGACCTTTATGTGAGTCTAAGCTAGTGTTTGGATGCTGTCCACACTCTAGAAACATTCCAAAACACTTAGACAGCTTAGGTCTTTGATGTAGCTTGCTGTCCTGATAATTCCTGCATCATTTAGAGGCATTAGGAGCATATTATCTTAGTGTCTAGGTGTTGTCCCCTACACCGTTACCTCCCCTAGCGTCCCCTAGCACCTACCCATGTATCCGGAACATATTCAGGCGACTCTAAACCTCATAGTGGGTCAACTTGGGACGGTTACTCAGCAAATTAGAAACACCCATACCGACTTAGCTGACTTTAGACGCCAAATGGGTGAGCGACTCGATAACATTGAGCGGTTAGGACACTCTGTGATTTGCACACCTTCTAGTCTGCATTCACCATATGGTGATGAAACCCGGACTAATTATGGGCCACCTCGGGATCACTATCGTCATAACCTTAGACCCAATCAGGATCCCGTAGGACATGAACCCACTTGGAGAGATAACAACACCCAATTACTTAAGAACATCCAACTAGACGCCCATTCCTATGATGGTACCCTCAACCCACAAGTCTTCTTAGACTAGCTCAAAGGGTTAGATAGTTATTTCAAATGGTATAGTATCTCTGAAGCTAAGAAAGTTAGGTTCGTCGAGATGAAGCTCACAGGTCGAGCTAACCAATATTGGACAAATCTGGAGAACATGCGCAAAGCTCGAGGTGAACACCCCATCACCGATTGGCGAACCATGAAGCAAGAGCTCAAGAGAAAATATATCCCTCCGTACTACCTCAAGATCTTAGATAGATGGAATATGCTAACCCAAGGGAGTAGACCTGTGAAAGAGCATATCTCCGCATTTGATGACTACATGATCCGTTGCAGCGGAGAAGAGACAACTACCCCTGCCCAAATCCTTTCTATGTTTAGAGTCGGCCTTAGGGAAGATCTCCGAAACGAGCTTTTTGCCAAAGGAGTTGACACTTTAGAAGCAGCCTGCAGTTTAGTGCTTAACCTCGAATAATCTAGGACCCATTCCCATTCTAAATATCTTGATTCCTGCCCAGCCCCTTATAGAGCTTATTCCAGTCAACCCCAAAATCGACCCGCTGGCCCTATGATTAGTCGATCCCCTGCCGGTCAACCCCAACCTCGTCCTGACTCTAAAGGTAAAAATCCTGAATGTGGCACTCCCAAAGCCACCTATGGAACCAAGTGTTATAGGTGCCATGATTATGGACACATTGCTTCACAATGTTTAAGTCCGTACAAGGTCACCATAATCGAAAAGGTTGAAGAAGAAGAGGAAGAACCTGAGACTGACTTGACCCATCATGTTGATGATGAAGAGGACTTCTTCTACGATGAAAACCCTGTTGATCTACAAGTCATTAGATGTGCGTTGTCCCAACCCAAATCTAGTAACGATTGGCGAAGGACTTCAATTTTTCACACCTTTACTAAGATAGGAACTAATAACTGCAAATTTATCATCGATAGTGGAAGTTGTATAAATGCAGTCTCTTCAGCTATGATATCCAAGCTTAACTTAAAGATGACACCCACCCTAACCCGTATAAGGTTGCTTGTATTAACTCGACCACCATAGAAATTAAGGATATGAGCCTTATTCCCATAGAGTTCGTTGGATATCAAGAGAAGATTTGGTGCGATGTGTTGACTATGGATGTGGGTCAGATTATCCTCGATCTTCCGTGGTATTTGATAACGATGTCTATATTTATGGGAGAACAAACACCTGCGTGTTTGAGCATAATGGCAAGAGGATCAAGCTTATTCCCTCCCAACCAAAACCCCATAAGACGGAAGTCAAATCTACCCCCGTAAAACCAAACAAAGGATTATACTTTTTGACTGCGAAGGAAGTGGAAGATGAGTTCAACCAAGGAGCCCCCATGTACGCCTTAGTGGCCCGGGAAACAAATGAAGAGCTAGGAGATCCCATTCCGGAGGAGGTCCAACCACTCCTTGAGTCATTTGCTGTTGCTTTCCCTGAAGATCAACCAAACCAGTTACCCCATATGCGAGACATCCAATACGTTATAGACCTCGTACCTGGAGCTTCACTGCCCAACCTTCCCCATTATCGTATGAACTCTAGGGAGCACGCCAAGTTAAAATAGCAAGTTGATGATCTGCTCCAAAGGGGATTTATCAAAGAAAGCTTAAGCCATGTGCAGTCTCGCACATCTAACTCCCAAAAAGGATGGCTCCTAGAGGGTGTGTGTTGATAGTCGCGCTATCAACTAGATTACTGTGAAGTATCATTTTCCCATTCCTTGCTTGGATGACATGTTGGACATGATGAATGGTGCAACTCTCTTTTCTAAGATCGATCTTAAGAGCAGTTATCATCAATTCAGAATCCGCCCATAGGATGAATGGAAAACGGGATTCAAAACTAAAGATGGCTTGTACAAATGGATGGTTATGTCGTTTGGCCTTAGTAATGCTCCTAGTACGTTCATGAGAGTTATGACTCAAGTTTTGCGCCCATTCTTAGGAAATTTTATTGTGGTCTGTGTTGATTACATTTTAATCTACAATAGTTCGGTGGATCATCACTTAAATCAACTGAAGCAAGTCTGTGAAGTTTTGAGGAAAGAACAATTGTATGCAACCAAAGAAGTGTATGTTTCTCACTGACCGTGTCACTTTTCTTGGATTTATCATATCCTCTCAAGGAATATCAGCTAACCCCGAGAAAGTTCAAGGGATTAACGAGTGACCTGAACCTAGAAATATCAGAGATGTTCGAAGCTTTCATGGGTTGGCCATCTTTTATCGAAGGTTTATTAGGAATTTTATCACGATAATGGCGCACATAACCGACTACCTAAATAAGGGAGAATTCTATTGGACTTCCTCTGCCACTAAAGCATTCGAGAAGATCCAAGAGAGAATGGTCGAGGCACC